TAGTCTGCAGGTTTGCTCTGGTGGGGGTATTTTGCCAATTCCATGAAATTTAGAGACGGCATCACAACCTGTGATTGCAAGGAAAATTAATAGGTTGATGCAGATCTCTGGAGGGAGTTGAAAACACAAAAAAAAACTGATACATTTGTATTATTTTAATTATTAACGGCCGCCATTTTGAAACGACTTAATCAAACTCGACCATTGACAACTTGGTCTGAGATAATGTATTCAAGCACTTGTACGCCTAATTTCATTAAAATCGGTTCAGGCAATTGGGTGTTATAACCGATTCATGGCGACCCAGCATCCTTTTACAGCCGCCATCTTGATGACGTCATTACGGACGACCGAGGTCCTTAAAAATTTGGGTCTGGGCAGTTTTACGTTCAGGGACTTCTATACTATGCTACCACCTCAAGTTGCATGTTCCCCGCCAAAACTAAAGTATTCTGCCACTTTATACAACCACACTGTATACATTTTGGTCCCACAGGTGCGTTACATGAGAGTATACTTTGACACGCGCCTTTTACGTCAATATTGCTTAAACCTTGTTATATTATATATGGAAATGAAGCGGAATTTAAAGCTCTATATGATTGTTGAAGGTAAAATTTGCATTTCCTCAATAATAATGGCGAAAGCCCCCAAAAAGTAAGAATATGTCTTATTTTTTTTACATATTTTAAAGTTTAATTTGTTTTTTCACTATTAAAAATCATATAACTATTATTTAATATGGTATTTTCTTGTAGATAATATTATGCCGAAGAATCTAAGACTAATTAGACTTTTATAGATGGAATGGTTTGGGAACAATAAGTTTTTAAGTGGAACCTTGCAGTGTTTTACAGATTGTCCGCCATTTTCCAAGATGGCGGATTTTGCTACAGTGGGAAAAGTTGGGAATTTTCACAAAATGTTAAGGGAAGCATGCCTAACACATTCCAGTTGGTTTTGCTTTGTTATTAATTTTGCCCAGGTAAAAGTCTAAAAGGCCTAGCCTATCAGGGATTACACCAGATGAAACTGAAAACCAAATCTGGGTAGATGACTGATATTTGGCACTTGTGGCTTGCTCTTTACGTTCATGAGGGATTACACCAGATGAAACTGAAAACCAAATCTGGGTAGATGACTGATATTTGGAACTTGTGGCTTTGCTCTTTACGTTCATCAGGGATTACACCAGATGAAACTGAAAACCAAATCTGGGTAGATGACTGATATTTGGCACTTGTGGCTTGCTCTTTACGTTCATCAGGGATTACACCAGATGAAACTGAAAACCAAATCTGGGTAGATGACTGATATTTGGCACTTGTGGCTTGCTCTTTACGTTCATCAGGGATTACACCAGATGAAACTGAAAACCAAATCTGGGCAGATGACTGATATTTGGTACTTGTAGCTTGCTATTTACGTTCATCAGGGATTACACCAGACTAAACTGAAAACCAAATCTAGGAAGAAGACTGATATTTGCTACCTGTAGTTTGTTCTTCACAATTAGCAGGAATAATGCCAGACTATCGAAAACGAAGACATTTAAAATGTGTCAAGTTTGATGCAGTGTAATGTAACATCAATATAATGCCTAAACGTATTACTAAGACATAATACCGGAAGCAGGTTCCATCTAAAACAATCTAAAAGTGGCCAAAAACCCTGAGACTCACATTACCCAGGAACAGCAAGTACAGTAACGCTGCCCAAAACAATGTACGGTAAATCATGTACAGTTATCTGTGCGGTGACGGCCTAGCTAATAACACACCTGGGCTCCACTACTACACTGCAGTTTTACGTGTTATCATACCGGTAACAGTATACAACTTTTTAAAATTAAATAGTTTAAAGTAATATATTTGATTGAGAATAGACTACTTTTTAAGTAACCTATCTTCAAAACATTATTTTGAATATTCAATGGTATTATGGAACAAATATTCCAAACTTCTAAATCTATTTTAGGTAAACTAACTGAAAATGTTCGCATAGTTCTGAAAAATAAAAATGAGACTAGTGATAAGTGCATCGTCTTCTACTATGAAAATTGTTTTTAGATTTTTGTAATGCAAATTAATTAAATTAGAATTATAATTTTAAATTATATTATACTTATGATAAATCTTACGGAATATTTGTTATGCAAAAACTTTAAACAACTTTACATCTGCTGCTTTACTTTATTTGAGAAAATTTAATAATAGCAAACTAATAAAACCATCATAAGGGAAGCTTATGTTCACTGATAAATAATGAATGAATAAGAGGCTTTGCAACCATCATCGTGTGCTGAAGATCACTTAAGATTATCGCTCCATTCACCGATATATTCACACAGTGAAGCTAATGTTGATTTAAGTAATCAAATTAACATGTACACTAGCAGCAAAACCCGGCTTTGCCCGTGTCAAAACAAATGTCAAAATAATGGAAATAAAATATTGTTTTGTTGATTAATAGAGTATTTTAACTTATTCAAACAATCAATATCTCAAATGAAAGCCTTTATTTCTATGAGTATTTTAAGACCAAGGCATAACAAATAACTAAAATAATGATAATTGTTGTTTATTCGCGATTCAGCAGTGTGCTTCAGCTAAGTCCGATCTTAATAATCAATTGCACAAATTAAAGCTGGTATTTCACTGAAGTTTCTCAGAGCGAAAAAATATAGAATAACATAATAAGAACTGGTAAAATGCATCTTTAATTAATTGAAATAAGAAATCGAAAAAATTAAAATGTATGTGTTTTGGTCAAGTAATACAGTAGATGAATTAATGATGATGCTTGATGGAAAATCTTTGCGTTCATAACTTGAATTTAATACCAAAATTATGAAAATCGGTCGTATTGAAAAGCCAAACGAGTTCGGAAAATGAAAATCTAATTTGACTCCCATAAGAAATGTACAAGGAGAAAGTTGATTTTGTGCATAGCTCGAAATAACGTCAGAAAAATTAATGCCGATGCTTTATGGAAAATCTGTGCATGCATGCTTTTAATTTAAGATTAAAAAAATGAAAATCGGTCGGGTAAAAGAGCCAAAATGACTCGGAAAAGAAAACCCGATATTTAGAAGATTATTTGTGCTTACAAATTAGTTACGCTTTTTTTAGTTAGGGAGTACGCAAACCTCAGTTAGCGATTTTATAAATATATTTCCATAAATAAACCAAATATATTAATGAAAATGTAATCAATGTTACACACTACTTACGAAGTTATTGCAGGCAGATACGGTTACATAATATCAACTCACCATGATCAGTTTGAATGTTCGATCAACTCTATTTCAATTTTGTAGCAGACTGCACAGGTAAAGCTTCAGATAATGTAGTACATAGTTGCGGAAAACTTGCTTAGCCTATGTTAGCAGAGATAATCTGGCCGCAATTAAATGATAACACATTCATTCAGATAACAGCTCAACTGTGCGGACGAAATTCAAACATTGCGTCACTTGTAAATTGAAATTATCTAATCAGGTTGTACGAAAATTTAAGCAAGCTTTCGCTGAACTGTGTTTACAGAAAAGGTTTAGATTCATCATAAATGACATTCTGATCAAACACGTGTACAAAGACAGTTTATTACATGCAATAATTAATTTACATTGGCATACACAATGTGGTAATGATAAACATTGTAATTGGACCCCACGGAAACTACTGTATCTTTCAATAACTCTCATTGGGAAAACTCTGACACTAGTTACAGTGCAGTTAGTAAGACACTTCCTAAATACTTACAAGCAAACCGTATTATGTAAAAACTAAATTATTTTAGCCAGGATTCCAGTAGAGTATATATAATTTTTTTTCGAATTCTCAATTAAATGGGGGGGGGGGTTCCTTATTTAAAAAAATCATCGCGTCATCATTCATGTGCATACAATTTTATTATGTACTAGATATTGGAAACTGATTTCATAATAAAAAATTTTGTTTGTTTGTAGTTAATGAAAGATGTTAATGACTAATTTCATATATATGTATGTCCATTGCTTAATCTTTTCGGCCGTATAACTTCTTTGCAAAAATTAAGTATCACATGCTTTTAATATTGTTAATATGATTAAATAAAAGGTAAATAAAGTAACTTATACAGTTTTCTCCTAGAAAACTGACTATTCTTATTTGACTAAGATAATTGATAGTACAGTTACACATTACAAGAACCATTTTGATAGAACGGAAAATATCATTATATGTCAATATAAGCAAACTGACTAATATAAATCAGAAATAGAGTAGTGTCTCAAGAACGTCACATTTACCTGTGCCTTGCCTATAAAATGTTATAACGCTGGCAGAGATCTATCGATGGGTTCATTCCAGTGTTCTCAGATTTGAAGGAGGAACGCTGATATCGAATTCCTCCTAAGGAATCGATGAGTAACTTTGATTAAACTTCCCTTCCAGTTCTACACAACACGACAACTCTTGTTGTATCGTGCATGGTCTTGGTTAAACAACTAATTACAAATGTGTAAAACCAATAGTAGTATGTATTAAAAGCACGCATTATGTTTTTTGTATTTAAAAACTATGTTGGTTTTGTTGAGGGTTAGGCTGGACAAATAGTTGGCAAGTATCCATTCTGCAGAGTTCTAGTTAAACGAAATCTCATAGTTTTCCGGTGAAGTACTGTATAGGGAAAAATAAATTCGCCGTTTTCTGGAACTTTAAGGATGGTAAGCGTTTCTGGATTATAGTAGTGTTTGCGGTGAAGGACATTGTGGTTGTTTTATGAACGTTTAACGAAATAAAGTGTTGGCAATACCACCTCTGAAAACAAGTGAAAAATTTAATAATTTTTTTTTATATCCAACATTGAATTTTTATACCAGGATACGCACAGGATGTTTGTTAGAGTGCAATCGCACTCGGTGTTTCGTCCAATATTAATATTCTTCACCTTAGATTAATTCTTTTTTAAACATTTACCTCAAATTGTTGTTAATCTTTATAAGAATGATTACTTACAACACAATTTTAGTAAATAGTTCTATCCAAGTGTGTCACTCGCGAGCGTGTGTGAGGTCGAGTGACGCGGACGTGCTCTCAGCTGGAGCGGTGAACACCGACTGACGCGACTGTACCGCGCCGCTACTCACGCACGCGCACGCACACACGTCATTGTTGAGATCAGCTGATGTTGGACCTGCTCCTCAGCAAAGTATTTCTAGAGGCTATACCCGGCTATACCGGTAAAATACCAACTCACGACGAAAACGTTCAGTTCTCTGAAAACGGTAAGGTTTCAGCAAATGACACGAGGTAAATGAAGAAAATGAGATCAAATTAACTCAATTTAATCTTTGTTAATATTCACTTGATTCAAGTCAGCCCAGTGTATCAGAACCAACTCAGAACTCGTTCCTCATCGCCACAAATAGATACAATATTGTCATATATGACAATATGTAAAAATCACCATGCATTCTCACTAGACAGACTCACTATTGTCAGATTACATGATAAAAACGTTATAATGGCGATATTTATATAAATGAAACGACATGTTATAAGTTACTTGCTTTTTTATTTTATTTTTTAAGGCTATCCAAGTTGTAAGTTTTATTTATTTTTTAATAAATAGGGTATTTTTTGGTTATTGCTACTACTTATTAGCTATATCGCTATATCACACTTTTAAAATATACCCTTTGCTGGATTCAAATACACAACGATTCGACAACCTATGATGGAAGTTGGGAAACAAAACAAAAAAAACACAAAAGATTCTAACGTCTACTGTGATGCACAATGTATTAAATTTCAAAGTTTAAATGGTTAAGGCGAAACTTCTTAGTTTTATCACTTTAACACAAAGAGGCAGCAAACTTGGTCAGGTTATTTGTCGTAGCCAGTCACATGAAATCTCTCCACGTAAAATATGAATATCTCTCATAGCCTTCACGTGACCGGGAACTTTAGTATGTATAAGAGGATAGAACTGCTATAGTTGATAACGTGGGAAACAAAAATGTATAATGAAACTCAGCCTTATGTAGACAGTACATTACACACTTATAAATACACAAAAATACCTGTTAACAAACGACATACAAGAAAATTGTTGTAGCATATGGGACGTTTGATAAAACAGTTTACATCTAATTCTGACACTTTGCACAAAGAAAATTGCCTTCTTGAAACATACAGTCTTCAAAACAGGACTTTTTATTTTTTTTACTTAGGATTTCTTATTCCACCAATTTCTAATACGGTTTTGAAAAGTGTGATAAGTTAGTTTTAACTTTTTGGATCAGGATATTTGTAAGAAAATTTATCGTAATTTTTTTGCTTTCCCAGTCGATATAGCTCGCATTACCACTTCTACCACCTCATCAGCAGGTCTGGGCTACTCTACTATTATCCTATTATACATTTAATAAGGATTTCTAGCTTTTTAGCTCTCATTTAACTTGTAGCTAGATTGCCTATTAGACCAAGCTGACATATTCATCAAAAGATAACACAAAACTTGAAACATTTACTGGGAAAGAACATAAGCGCAAAAACTAATCAGTATTATAATATATTATACTGGGATTATGTTTGGCAGTATATTGCCACGTTGTAGGTCTACTGTTTTGGCTGGGATTGTTTGATACCAATCTACAAAGCTGGGATTTGTGGTAGAGACTAAAACTAGTAAGATTATAAAATCATTTCACATTTGAAAGCTTTCGGTTCTGTGTTTGTTCAAATCTCAACTGGATTCTTTTACCCACCGATCGGCCGCAGTGGGTTATTAACTAACATTGCAGTGGAAATTGGTGGGTTCTTTCAAGTTAAAATTGAACCACGCCTATGACATTTCAAGTCAAAAATAATAATTTACTCGTTTGCTACGGTAAATGTTCGTTGCAATATTAGATTCAGGATATTGTTCAAGTTACGCAAGAGGAGGACCTTACGCATGTAGTCAACGGTCAAGTATTTTTATTATTCTAAAGAGGCAAGTAATATACTCTGTTCAGTAATATAAAATGAAAAAAATGTTTTCTAAATCTTATACAAGAATTATCTAATTTCAACTCATTTTAAACTTTTACAATTTTTGAGACAGGTATTAAGAGAAACTCCACTTCAACAACGTGAGAATTTGTGGATGCTGGGCGTATACTCTGACTGATAAAAGACCGGATAAAATACTTTACAATTTACTAACTTCCAATGTTGCTGCAATATGCAAGGCAGATGAAGTCTACCTAGTTGGTAACGCAGAATTTGTGATACATATAACCCAAATATAGAACACCTGTAACGGTTGATAGCACCCCACTGTTCAGGATTAGGTCCGATGGCTCATCATTTACTTTTCACCTACAGTGAACAACTTTGTTTAGAGGAATCCCCTAAATCGAAGAAAGATCTACTGCTAAAATTTAGCAGTAGATCTTTCTTCGATAAACTTAATTATTTAATAATTAAGCTACCCGACTTCATTTTGCTTGACACAGATTACCAGTAAGGCAACAATTTTCTTCAGTTGATTATGCTGGAAAAACTTTGTTGCAATATATTGCAAACATGTTAAGTTAAATTGATTTGGTAAGTTATTTATTTACTGAGAACTGAAGTTATCTTGAACCTTCGCTGAGCAATTTGAAATATTTTAAATTAATGTATAAAAAGTGTTGAAACAACTCTAAGAATATTACTACAGTTATTAGAATTCAAGCACCCAAGTTTTCCTCAACGTTATGTTTATATCTATGAGGCTCAGAGCTACACATTATTTAATACCTTTAATGAATTCTTCAGGCACGTTTGATAATGGTGTTTTTGTCTCCTTGACATCACCTTCAAGGTGAGGCAGTGAAACGGCTTATTTGAATGTATGATATCAACACAGTAGCGTTACTATTCTGCTATTTCCACCCTTACACACTATCATTCTAAAACTCACTCACTTTCTTATCTTCGTCAAACTCTGCAGGTCCACGTTTCATGCAATTTATATTATACTATAGAGAATATAAAGTATTAAGAATCTAACAAATTATTAGGAAAAATCTAACTGTACTAATGAAGTATCTAAATTCCAACCAGAATGAGCTATCTAAGGATGGTAAACATTGCGTACTGGTCGAGGAGTGTAAAGCTAATACTGACCGTGTATCCAATATTACAGAGGTGATATAAAGGAATATTGGTATTTGACACAGATCCATAGCAGCAATTGACGCCTTGGTCGAGGCTGATTGTCTGTCTGTAGTCTCACCTTGTTGTCTACTTAGACACTAGACAGTGTAGACTATAGACTATAGACACAATCAACGAGCTGGTGACGTCCCGTCGTGCGAAGACAACAACCAGCTTGTCTATGAGACGTTGCTCACATATTGACTGCAGTATCAGTATGTAGGTAACTAGGAAAATAATTTGATGTATGAATTAAGCTATTTAGCCTATGTTCTACACTTTATCAATTAATGGTACATTATAACAGTAAGTATGATAATCATAAGGGTACAGTGAATTTAAATGTACCTTAAAAACATAATTTCTTTCACGAATATGCCTGAATATTAATGCATGATCACTTTGAAGACAATTGTGTTCATCCAGCCAATAACCGGTGTTCATATACCCTTATCTCCTCCAAACTAGTTACAAGGAGTTGATGCTGCGCTGAATGCAACGTCATATGGTTGCTCAAATAAGGTGGAACTAACCGCTGGATGCTCGGATAGTCGCGGCCTGCAACTCATATCACTGTTCTAGTTCTACTGAATAGAGCTCTGTTAGATCTACTGTCTATGATCTAATAAGTCATGTATGGTTATGCATTTTCAATATATCAAACCATTTACAATTGCCAATACATGGAAAGTGTGTGCTAAATTTTCGAGAATGGATAAGGTGTGAAAAACACATTTCATAAATGGTTTGTTTGCTATTCTGTTTTTGTATGTTTGTAACAAGGTACCATATAGATTAAGTCTTGAAACCTTATAAATTCAAACATAGCTACTAAATAGCTGGAGGATGGCTTTTATATATTATTCTAAGGAATGTGATTGGTTCCTGTTTTCCTATTCTGTTGTTATAATAATGTTCTATTGACTTCATACCTTCCTAAATCATACAAGTTGCTGTATAATTGCTGTAAAAAGTATTGATTTTCAGGTGGTCCATTCTATCCAATTCGTTTAATGTTTATGTTTTTATTAGTTAATTTTAGTTAACCAGTTTCCTCTTCCTCCTGGTGTTTCAGAGCTACTCATGAACATGAGCAATTCATGTAATTTCCGTTTAATTGTTTCTATAGGAAGAATCTCATAAATAACTATATAAAATTACCTAGAAAAAGCATCTTCCCACTAATGTACTACGGTACGGCGGCACTACGGTCGATTGGATACAAACTTACCGTGTTGTCGAATGTTGGTGAAACTGTTTGTCTCCAAGAAGCAAGCACCTCTACCGGGAAAGTGCTAAAGTGCTACAGGCGGTGGTGGTGACAGATGGCGAATGACTCCCGTCTGTATGTAGAGTTTGCGGAAGAGTATTTATAGCATCAGTGTGATGAAGCGTGGCCGACGCCGCCCACCACATTACACATTTACACATTACACATGACCACAAGCTAGCTGCTACCTTGGAACACTTACCCACTTGGACGAGGATCGTCAGGTTCTGGGGAGAACTCAGCTTACACCTACTACAGCTGCCATAACTTCGTGGGAGTCAAGATGAATACATTATTTATACAATTTAGTCACAATTCTTGTAGTTATCTTATAGAAAAATTATAGAAATTTGAAAAAGAAGAAGACAAATTGGAATATTTGAACATAATTTTTTACATAATTTAACATAATAACTACGTGTTTGCTCTATGTCAATTAAAACACTCTTGAACTTATCTTGATTTCGTAAACTGCAATAAATTAGCAGATCATGCGATGTCAAATGTATGTAGCCTAAAAGGTAAAAACTGTACGTAGTACCTTTGATTATGATTGGTTATTTTATATACCTTGGATATTTCATTCCATGTTAAGGGGCTTAGAATGAAAAGCGAAGTTCAATTGCACCATAGACTGATTGTACTGCTGTCAAT